ACAAGCGGAACACAACAAGCAGGGGGGGGGGGGGGGGGGGGAGAGGTGAGCAAACACTGCCACAGGACCAAGGATTGGGTGAGTGCTGTATTTTCACCCTTAGAGAAAAACATACTGTTAACCTTTGTAGTGTGGAGGGGGGGGGTGTAGCCCCACTACAAGGGTTAAAGGAGAAGTATGGGGTCAGGGCTTTTCCCCATAATTCTCCTAAGGGTCACGGGAGAACACAAACTAGCGTCCTCCCGTCACCCAAATCTACAGCTCGCGGTATACTGAGACGCTACAGCCGGAACTGATCCCGACATTGCTGTCGAGATCCACCCAGCTGCGTGATTGACAGCTGGCTCTGCCTATCCAGAGGCAGAGCCAGCTGTGCCCCTCCCCCATCCGTTCCACCAGTCAGCGCTGGAGGATCGGACAGGGGAAGGGAATCCCTGCAGGGAGTTGTGAGTGACAGTCACGTCTCTCTGCAGGGCGATCGAGAAGTGAGCGAGCGACGCTATGTGTTCGCTCACTTCCCGATCTACTGAGCCGACCTGTGACAGTCTCATTATCACAGGTCGGCTAGAACTATGAGGCCAGTGGCGTAACAATTGCGCAGTGTGCAGCTTCTAAGAAGATAACGCTATTAGCGCAGCGGGAGTGATGCAAAATGCGCAGCCGCCTTCCCCGCTATCTTCCCAGAAAAAAGTTTTATTTTATGTTCTATTCTTAGTTCTATAATGTCATTGTAGTACTTTCAGGTGGAATACAGCTTCATAACATATCAGCTAGGGAACTACAAGTCCCAGCATGCCCTCATTGCCCCTGTACAACAACCAGATATTGCCGTTCCCTGGGTGATATGTGTGTGTGTGTGTGTGTGGGGGGGGTGTACAGGGACAATGATGGCATACTTGGACTTGTAGTTCCTTAGCTGATATATACAGTATGTGTGTGGGGGGGGGTATAGTTCCAGTGGATGTTTATATAATATGGGGGGGGGCGAAAAAAAATTCTGCCCCGGGCGCCCATAACTCTGGTTACGCCACTGTATGAGGCTGAATGAAAAAATCACTCGCCTCATAGTTCTCCTTTAACCTTTCAGAATCCTGGACAGTTCACCTTCAAAGAAAACCACCATTTGTTGTGTGGTTTCGCTGTTGTTGCCAGGCAGCACATATACACACAGAACCCTGTAATCATACTTGCTTCCTAATTAAGTGTACACAAAATAAAAATCCTATAACAGCTGTTCTTGCTGTGAGCCGGAGCAGTTGAAGTTCAGAGGGATTACTGACAGGACTGTAAATGTATGTAGGTAACAATTTTCCCCCCCAGGCATCGGAATTTTATCTGAAATAAGGCCGGAACGTTACTGAAATCTAAATGTTGAATGTATTTTTTTGAATGTTGGACTCCAGGCAAGCAGCTAAATACACGGTTCAGATAAATAATACATGAGCTTATGTACCTGCACAAAAAAGTTTTATAGTTCTATCCAGGCGGTCTTGTGATCCATCGACCCTTCTCAGCACCACACAGGTTTGTGACCTCACTTTTCTCCATTGCAGTTAAGCATTACAGTTTGGTCCAGGACACCAAGAAGGTCAGCCCGTTCCTCTATCCACCTGTAAGGATTTTAGGGCTTTGGCCGGCTCTGACTTTCTGAATAAGTAACTAGATTAAATGGTGTTCTTTTCACATTTGCCTGAAGTTCAGCTTTAGCACATGAAAGTAATATTTTATACCTATTGAGAGATTTAGCTTCTTTCAAAGTTACTATTGGAGTGTGTTTGGAATGTACTATAGGGCAAGGAGTTTCCAAACTCCAATACTTCTATATGAGCTTGTTGGACTGTTCATTCCAAAACCCATGGCATTTAATATTAGGGATGCATCCAGGGCCGTAACTACAGAACACGGGGCCCCATAGCAAAAATGTGATGGGGGGCCCCCCTGATGACCTCTCTACGAGTTGTAAGAATGCCAAAATCCCAACATTCCTCTTGTGCATACGAAGACATCTTTACACGGTAGACTTTACAGTCAACTGCAATCACTCCAACCCTTTGTGAATAGGGGCGAACGGCAGTGAGTGAGCTGCCGGAGCTGAAATCATCCGTACTGAGCCGTAGTCGGCTGCCTCTGGCTGCTTAGTGAATAACCCTGTTAGTGAAATATATACCACAAGAAGAGACATTCTTCATTGTTGTATTTCTCATTTAAGTGGAAGTACCTTCTAAGTACACTGATCACCGATTTGATCATTCAGGGGTAAAGACTGAAGGAGTAGTTAGGAGTGGTAGAATTGTCCGGAGGATATCCAGGTCTTCCTCTGTAATGGGGTGAGGAGGTTGCAGTCCAAAAGCGTCCTATAGGGGCATCAGATGGGTTCCAGTGGAGGTGGCCACCATCTAACAAGAAGTAACAATTATTTATTTTCAGTGGAAGAAGTAATTGTATTCTAGTTGTTTCTAGGTGTTAACTAGTCATTAAAATGTGTATTAGATATATTGTGAAATCAACATCATGTGAAAATTGTTTTCATACTAAAGCTATGTGTCCTGGGCCGTACCCATTATACGAGGGAATGGACCTCCTGATGGAGAAGACTGGAGGTTCCCCGGCCAGTTGGGAGACGCTCTACCCCCTACCCGGAAATACCTTGGGATATTTGAAGAGACTTTGTTAGGAGTGACGTTATCATCAAAAAGGGAGGAGTTGACAAAGATATTATGGACACTCAGTTAGAGCAGCACTTTAATTTATATCAACCTTTAGCGCACTTCAGTTTAACTTGCGTATTTCTCTCTTGGTTTGGGGACTTGTGGTTTTGTTTAGGCTACACCTTGCCGATATTAATTATTTTGTTCCAAGGACACATAACTTTGGTTTTAAAACGATTTGCACATGATGTTGATTTCACAATATATCTAATACATATTTTATTGAGTAGTTAAAGGAGAACTATGAGATGAGTGATTTCCACTCACCTCATAGTTCTAGCCGACCTGTGACAATGAGACTGTAACAGGTCGGCTCAGTAGATCGGGAGGTGAGCGAACACATACCGGCATTCGCTCCCCTCTCGATCCTGTCACGGCTCTCTGCCGTGACAGGGGAGGGGCTGGATTCCCCTCTCCCCGCTCCCATCTGCCAGCGCTCACTGGCGGAACGGACGGGGGAGGGGGCGGGTACAGCTGGCTCTGCCTCTAGATAGGCAGAGCCAGCTGTCACTCACGCAGCTGGGCGGATCCCGACGTCCATGCTTAGCTTGCGGTATACTGAGCTTAGGGTAACGGGAGGACACTAGTTTGTGTCCTCCCGTTACCCTAAGGAGAACTATGGGGAAAAACACTGACCCCATAGTTCTCCTTTAACACCTAGAAACGCCTAGAATACATTATTAATGATTATGTCAATAAATATCAGTTGTTCATCCTAATAAAGTAGAAATTGCTATACATATGCACTTGTGTCCACGTCAGTTTCTCTAGCATGATGCTATATGGGTGTGTATGGGTGCACCTTAATTTTTTTCTTCTAGGATGGGCGTGCTATCGAATTTAAATCAGTCTACGACAGTGGTGGTTAGTTATTTTTCAGAGTTCAAAGTCGCATACAGGTTCACTTTAATTTGTCAACAACACCCATTGCCCATCATGACCCCCCATCATCACACTGCATCAACCCTTTCACTCACTGTGCTGCAAAACCTCTCCACTCATCTCATTGTCTTCCTGAACACATTCACGCCTCTCCGATGAGCTTGCACCAATGACCACCACTAGAAAAGGATATCTGTTTATTTAAAACGTTCAGATTTTGGTAACAATTTCCTAAATGTCGTTGTACTGATTGGATGAGCTGTGTGAAGTCCCCTGCTGAGGTCTATGAAGTGTGTATGAACAGAGCGAATGTTATGAGTCCAAAAATGAAGAATGACAGACGAACGTATGCAATGTATATCCTGTGATGGGGGCACTTGTACGCCTGTTGTTGTTTCGGAAAAGGAGGAAGATCATTTAACGCTAAGTGGTTCTCAAGCAGCCATTTCTACAACTTAGTTTCCTTCTATAATAAATATATTTATATATGTAGCTAAACTCCAGTCTCCAATCTTTGGACGGTCTGTAAGATGTTGGGCTTAGCCCATGACTCCCACGTCCTCTTGACGTGCCCACAGGGAAGACCTAAAACGTTTGCTATCATCTAACCATACTTGGGATGAAGTCTACAATCTTTTCTTTCACCGGGAGCGGCGGTCTGTGTGCGGCCCCACTGAAATGCGTAAACATGTTCAAAATGGAGTCTGTGATGGCAAAGACGCTTGGTTATATGGCGATGTACATAAAGGGCAGTGGAGCACATGCAAATGGCATGGTTGTACATGAGCATAGATGAAACAGAGCAGCACGCGAAGGAATCTACTTAGAAAATCAGGCTACAGAAGCCGGGACGCTCCAACAAAGTTTCTGCCCCAGGGCAGAGTAACATTCTCCCAGCCACGGTCTCCACAGTTTGTTAGAAATTTGTGCTTATAATCTCAATATAGTTTCTTTATAAATGTTGCTTGTTTTATATTTTTTTATTGTTACTATCTTTTGAGGTCCGCATCTCCCATGCGGACGGGTCTTAGCATCTCTGAGTCAATACTTAGATAACGTTCAGGTTTCTTCTCTGGTTCCACCTTGTCCTGACGATGTCGTCACTGGCTGCCTTTTGTCAATACCTTCCCTGATTTCTCTCCCCTTGGTTGTATTGTAGACGCATTTGAACTTCTCAAAGGAAGCTGTCAGTCTCTCATTGGCTCCTTCAAACGGTCACGCTTGTCGGTCTTTGGTAATATCTTGACACTTTGGTGTGTCGGTGGAGGAGGATCGAGGAGGAAAGTGTACAAAAGATGGAACGGCCTCATTCTGAATGCAAGAGGAGCAGCGGAGTATCATCTCAGAAGGACGAATAAGAAGAAAGTCAGGAGCCAGTATAGAGAACCTGAGTGTGGGTGACAGGCCAGACTTCTAGGAGGTGCTGCAGCTACAAGACAAGAGGAAACTTGGTTAGATGATTTCCTAGAGCCACCAGGAACATATGCAATGACACCAGAAACATGCCCACCGTGGTAATCTTTACATGGTCAGCTTGGTGCAAAAACATGTTGCTTTTGGTAAAGTTTAAAGCTTTTTCATAAGACAAGAAAATATTTTACGGGAATCCACATGAAGCATGCGAGAGTCATACTATTCTAGGCTCTACCTAGCAGGAGTTAGGCACACTGAAGTGGACTTGTTCTGTAATGTTGAAGATGTTTCGCTGCTCATCCAAACAGCTTCATCAGTTCTAATGAACGGAAAGAAAGGAAGGGAAGGAGCGCAACTAACTGGCGCAGACTTTGTGGAGGTGGATAGACCAGGGAATAACAGTGAATCAGGTGAAGGTGGGAGGGAATGAGAAATGGGCGCTCACGTGTGATGAGATGGATTGGCACACAGGTGATGATCTCCTGGCGATGTCATGAGGTCTGGTCAGGGTGACAGGTGGGTGTTCAGGGGGCAGAAAGTGGATCCTTTCTGCCCCCTGGATTCCCCCCTACCCGCTCCTCCAGCGCTGACTGGCGGAACGGACGGGGGAGGGGACAGCTGGCTCTGCCTCTAGATAGGGAGAGCCAGCTGTCACTCACGCAGCTGGGCGGATCCAGACATAATTGTCGGGATCCGCTTCAGCAGCGGCGTCTCAGTATACTGAGCTTTGGGTGACGGGAGAACGCTAGTTTGTGTCCTACCGTTACCCTAAGGAGAACTATGGGGAAAAGCCCTAACCCCATAGTTCTCCTTTAAACCTAACCTTAAAGGAGAACTATGACATGAGTGATTTCCACTCACCTCATAGTTCTAAGCCGACCTGTGACAATGAGACTGTCACAGGTCGGCTCAGTAGAACGGGAGGTGAGGGAACACATACCGGATTCCCTCACCTCTCGATCCTGTCACGGCTCTCTGCCGTGACAGGGGGAGGGGCTGCATTCCCCTCTCACCGATCCGATCTCCCCTCTAGATAGGCAGAGCCAGCTGTCACTCACGCAGCTGGGCGGATCCCGTCAAAAGAGTCGTGATCCGTCCCGGCTGCGGCGTCTCAGTATACCGCGAGCTGTAGCCCGCGGTATACTGAGCTTAGGGTAACGGGAGGACGCTAGTTTGTGTCCTCCCGTTACCCTTTGGAGAACTATGGGGAAAAACACTGACCCCATAGTTCTCCTTTAACACTAACCACTAACCCCAACCTCTGGAGTTTAGCTTTCATCCTCCAATGTGTTTTGTTTCCAGGTTTAACTTTTTGCTTTCTGCTCCTGGCCGGCCTCCTCATCAGCAGAGACAAGTTTATCTCCTACTCGCAAAGGCTAAAACTGTCTATTGTCCACCAGGCCATGACACCGGGCCGTCCAATGACATTTCATCAATAACTGAATGGAGTAGATGAATGCGCTGCTGCGTGCACTCAGCTGATAACACAACCCGATTTTGCTTTGTCAGTGAACTCCTCAGATTTCCAGATCTTGTTGATCCGGTATGTGTAACGTGTCAATCGTTACATCTCAGAGAGAAGGACTCACGTTTTTGTGGCAAAGTTATCCGTTTCGGACAGTCTCCTTTTTTTATGGTGACGTCATCGATGGCCATGTCCCCTTCCATTCCATTGACGGTAATACATTCAAACACGACCTGAGAGATGAGAGAAAAAGCACTTTGTTAGCTGGTGGTTTATCATTTTACTTTTGGATGTTTATTTTACTCCAGCACAGAGCAGAGTATTTCAGGAGAGGAGAGTTATAGAGGAAGGAGCAGAGTCCTCCAGCAGAGCAGAGTATTCCAGGAGAGGAGAGTTATAGAGGAAGGAGCAGAGTCCTCCAGCAGAGCAGAGTATTTCTGGAGAGGAGAGTTATAGAGGAAGGAGCAGAGTCCTCCAGCGGAGCAGAGTATTTCAGGAGAGGAGAGTTATAGAGGAAGGAGCAGAGTCCTCCAGCGGAGCAGAGTATTTAAGGAGAGGAGAGTCGGAGAGGAAGGAGCAGAGTCCTCCAGCAGTGCAGAGTATTTCAGGAGAGGAGAGTTATAGAGGAAGGAGCAGAGTCCCCCAGCAGAGCAGAGTATTTCAGGAGAGGAGAGTTATAGAGGAAGGAGCAGAGTCCTCCAGCAGAGTATTTCAGGAGAGGAGAGTTATAGAGGAAGGAGCAGAGTCCTCCAGCAGAGCAGAGTATTTCAGGAGAGGAGAGTTATAGAGGAAGGAGCAGAGTCCTCCAGCACAGCAGAGTATATCAGGAGAGGAGAGTTATAGGGGAAGGAGCAGAGTCCTCCAGCAGAGCAGAGTATTTCAGGAGAGGAGAGTCGGAGAGGAAGGAGCAGAGTCCTCCAGCGGAGCAGAGTATTTCAGGAGAGGAGAGTTATAGAGGAAGGAGCAGAGTCCTCCAGCAGAGCAGAGTATTTCAGGAGAGGAGAGTTATAGAGGAAGGAGCAGAGTCCTCCAGCACAGCAGCGGATATCAGGAGAGGAGAGTTATAGAGGAAGGAGCAGAGTCCTCCAGCAGAGCAGAGTATTTCAGGAGAGGAGAGTTATAGAGGAAGGAGCAGAGTCCTCCAGCACAGCAGAGTATATCAGGAGAGGAGAGTTATAGGGGAAGGAGCAGAGTCCTCCAGCAGAGCAGAGTATTTCAGGAGAGGAGAGTCGGAGAGGAAGGAGCAGAGTCCTCCAGCGGAGCAGAGTATTTCAGGAGAGGAGAGTTATAGAGGAAGGAGCAGAGTCCTCCAGAATAAGCCCTGACTCTCACCTGACATATTTCTCATACATTAATCAGCAGTAACAGATTTCTGATACATTTATTAATAAATTGCGTCTCTGATGATCTCCATTGTTAGGGAATAAACTCCGGGGTGGAGATGGATGAAGGAAATAATCTGCTCCCTCCACCCACGCACGTTTCAGAACAATTACTGGTAATTGCAGTGAGAAAATAAACTGCTAACGTAAACAAGATTAAAATGGATTTATTAAAGGTCACTGAACTTTTCAAGCATATTAATATCATCGATTCCTCTATGCTGAGATTATACACACCTCCGATTCCCAGCCCATTGTATCTACAATTCATCTGTATTACAGAGGGATGGGAGAGAGAGAGAGAGATAGAGAGAGAGAGAGAGAGATAGATAGATAATGTATGATAGATAGATAGATAGATAGATAGATAGATAGATAGATAGATAGATAGATAGATAGAGAGATAGATAAAGAGATAGATAGACAGTAGACATGTGCGATTTGTTTCGCTGCGAAATTCGGACGAAATTTCGGAAGTTCGTGGATTTGGAGCATCCGAATTTCCAAAATGTACCATGTCCGAATTCCTCCAAATGTGAAATTTCGGATTCAGTACGAATTTCGTCCTAATGGAAACTAAATTAGAAATTTACGATAATGACTTCATAAAGAGGATTTCATAGCATGTGAAGATAAAAACAAAACATTACTTCATGTTCCTGTGCGCGCACCGTCAACGTTGAAACGGATAAAAAAAATTAAGAAAAGGATTTTAATGTTCCTTTAATAGTGAAGACTAGAGCACAGCAACCAGAAATGGCAACTGTGCCAATTCTGCTACATAAGTGCGTACGAACATTGGTCCGTTCGCGCAAAACCCCAAATTTCGGAAATTCATCCGAATTACAAATCCAAATTACGAATACAAATTACGAATCTGATCGGAATTACCAATCCAAAACCCAAAACGAAACACATACAGGACCCGATTTCGGAAATACGAAATAAGCGAAATCCAAAACGAAACTAAACTAAATGAATTTTTTGCGGCTGCATATGTCTGAAAGATGGATGGATAGATAGATAAATAGATAGATATGAGATAGATAGATGGATGGATGGATGGATAGATGGAGAGATAGATAGATAGATAGATAGAGAAATAGATAGATAGATAGATGGATGGATGGATGGATAGATAGATAGATAGATAGATAGATAGAGAAATAGATAGATGGATGGATGGATGGATGGATGGATGGATAGATAGATGGATAGATAGAGTAATAGATAGATAGATAGATAGATAGATAGATAGATAGATAGATAGATAGATAGATAGATGGATGGATGGATAGATGGAGAGATAGATAGATAGAGAAATAGATAGATAGATAGATGGATGGATGGATGGATGGACAGATAGATAGATAGAGAAATAGATAGATGGATGGATGGATGGATGGATGGATAGATAGATGGATAGATAGGACTCTGATATCAGTTGATTTGTATTCCGGGTTGGGTTTCCGTGGATCATCTCCGCGTTCTCCGGGATAAATGTCGGCTTCTTCCAGCTCTCTCTGCGATTGATTCCACAATAAATATTGTAATAGGGAAATGTTTGACTTTTTATTGTCTCACTAGTTAGAACATCATCTTCCTGACACACAGATCCGTCTTCCAGGCCGCGGACGGCCATTGGTTTTACAAGTCGCAGTAATAACATTTGAGGAGAGGACGGGGGATGGTTTATAGTTTGTTGTACGTTATTACGGGGGAACATTTTCTCTTTTTACGGCTCAGATATTTCCTGTTGTTCATCTGTCAAGAAACGATTTTGGATCTTTAATAGGATTCTCTGTTTGGTCTCACTATGCCGCCTAGCCATGAATGGGCGTGGCCTATTTTGTCCCTAAAACCCATGTAGGCAGCCTATTGGTTATCTGAAATCTGATTGTCTGATCCCTGGTCTGCGCTCTAACGCGCCGCCGAGGCCCCTTATGTCATACTAATGATCGGGATCTGGGAGGACCGCCCACCAGTCATAGTGATCACTAGATTTAGAACCATCCCCTGTATAGCTCCTCCTCTGTGAGAACAATGATACATTGTATTCTTTCCTTCTCAGTAGAGAAGTGTGAAGAGAAGGCTGGATACATAAATACAAATAAAGATCAGTGTTTGTGCCAGGATCAGTGTTAGGGTCAGTGTTAGGGTCAGTGTTAGGGTCAGTGTCAGTGTCTTATTCGGTTTGTGTGTTATTTATTTTCTAGTGTTACATTACAAAAAGTGCCAAATTAAAAACAAAAAGCCTTTATTTCAAGTGTAAATAACTTTGCAATGCTTTGTACACAGAGTTCCATCATGACAAGTGATAAAATAACATTTATACTGCTTACAATTTCTTTTTTAAACTAACACTGATCAGAGTAGTAAAAAGTTCATTTTTTTGAGCTTTGTTTCTTTGTTGTCTATGGATTACATAAAGAATAAAATCATTTCTGCAGGACAATATCACCAGAAGAAAGCTTGGATAGTCCTAAAAATATGTATTGTTATTATTATAATTATTA